TAAAAGGTTTAGATATGGCTATGTAGATATTGACACAGATACATTAAAAAAAAAAAAAAAACTGGAAAATCTTACTTGACATTGTAAGCAATGGTAATTGCTGAGAGTGGATTTGTGATAATTTTTATGTGTTTTCTTTCCAAGTTTCTACTTTGAACACATATTTATTTTGTAACTAGAGAAAAAGTATTTTAATTAAGTAAGCAAGCTGGGCATGAAAAGCACTTGCCTGTGATCTGAGCAATTCAGGAAGTTGAGACAAGAGGATCACAAGTTCAAGGCCAGCTTCAGCAATTTAAGGAGATCCTGTCTCAAAATAAAAGATGAAAAGGGCTGGGGATGGAGATCAGTGGTAGAGTTCTCCTGGGTTTCATACCCAGTATTGAAAAAAAAAAAAAGCTAAAAACAACACAATAACAACAATAATAATATGTGAGTAAATAAATTGGGCAGAGCAGCACATACCTGTAATCCTGGTGGGAGGCTGAGACAGGAAGATCAAATTAGAGGCCAGACTCAGAAATTTAGCAAGACCCCAAGCAACTTAGTGAGACACTGTCTCAAAGTAAAAAAAAAAAAAAAAAAAAGGGCTGGGGATATAACTCAATGGTAAATCACCCCTGGGCTCTATCCCCAAGTACCAATAAATTAATAAAATCTAAAAATTAAAAAAGAATAGGGATGGGCTAGGGTTGTGCCTTAGCAATAGCACACTTGTCTGGCATGTGTGAAACAACTGGTTTCAATTCTCAGCACCACATAAAAATAAATAAATAAAATAAAGGTCTATCAACAACTAAAAAAAAAAAGAATAGGGATATAACTCAGTGGCAAAGTAACTTGAGTTCAGTCCCAGTATCAAATAAATAAATACCCAACCTAATCATGATTCTGGAAACAGGTTATTGGAGCATTATTCTCATTACTCAATCTCTTCCCTATATTTTAGTTAACCCAGTCTTTTTTTTTTAAAAAACGTTTATTTTATTTGTAGGTGGACACAATACCTTTATTTTTATGTGGTGCTGATGATCAAACCCATTGCCTCAAGCATGCTAGGGAGCGCTCCACCTCTGAGCCACGCCCCAGGTCATTAACCCAGTCTTAACATACCAAGAGTATTTTGTAAAACACACATCTGACTTAATCTTCACTCATTCAACATTTCGCACCTGTGTAAAATAAACTAGATGCCTTCCCAGGTGCAAAGGACTTAAGAGATAAATAAAGGATGCCCTCTACCTTCAAGCAACTTCTAAACACCAGGTGGAGTGGTGCAGGAGGATTGCAAGTTTGAGGCCACCCTTGACAATTTAGCAAGACCCTGTTTCAAAACAAAAAGAGCTGCAGGTATGGCAGTGGTAAAGTGCCCCTGTGTTTAATCCCTGCCTTAAAAAAAAAAAAGGAGGGCTGGGGCTGTAGCTCAGTGGTAGAGCCTCGCAGGTGTGAGACCCTGGGTTTGATCTTCAGCACCACATAAAAATAAATAAAGATATTGTGTCCATCTACAACTAAAAAAAAGGAAGGGGGGAAGCTCCGAAGATAGTGGGATAGACAAGCATGAAAATAGACAACTATAATATACCATGAAAAGTTCCATGGGAGCACAGAAGAAAAGCATCTTAGGCCAAAAAATGGGTGGACCAGCTTATAGAGTAGGTGATACTTGGGTCCCCAAATTTATTTTAATCCAGGTGTGGTGGCACATGCCTGTATTCCCAGCAACTTGGGAGGCTGAGGCTGGAGGATCAGAAGTTGAAAGCCATACTCAGAAATTTAGCCAAGCCCTAAGCAACTGAGACTCTGTCTCAAAAAATAAAAAGGGCTAGGGATGTTAAGCATCCCTGCGTTCAATCCCCAGCATCCCCTAAAAATTTTTTTACTAGATGCTGGAATGAGTGAACAAAGGACATTTCTTAACTTTGGGAGAAAATCCATTCATTTATTTATCCATTTATTCAACAAAAGTTTATTTAGTGCAAGCACATACAATAGAGATACAATGGCAGCAAAAACAGTTATAGTCTCTGTTCTGAAGAAGCTTATAGTCTAGTAGGGGATACAGGTGTTAAATAAAAACTAATTAATATAAAATTCTAATTGTAGTAAGTGCTATGAAGGAGAAACTTATAGCTCTATGTAACCTAACATGGAGGGGAATTATAAATTATGCCAGGGAACAGTTCCCTGAAGTAGTAGTAACTGAGTTGGGGCTGTGGCTCAGTGGTAGAGCGCTTGCCTAGCATGTGTGAGGCACTGGTTCAATCCTCAACACCACATAAAATAAAAAAATAATAAAAGATATTTAAAAAAGGAAGTAGTAACTGAAGTTTTTTTTTTTTTTTTTAATATCTTTATCTCTTTATTTTTATGTGGTGCTGAGGATCAAACCCAGGGCCCCGCACATGCTAGGCGAGCGCTCTACCGCTGAGCCACAACCCCAACCGGCAAATGAAATCATAGGGATAACTAGATATCCCAATAGCAGAAAGAGTGTACCAAGAGATAAAGCTGTGCCCAGGTTCTGTGAGAGAATGAAGCATTTTGATTAGGAAGCAGTTTGATTGGAAGAGAGCTACTGCAGCTGAAGCTGAGAAAGAGGAATACAAGATGTGGCTGGAGTCAAATTTGAAGTCAGACAATGCAGGCTCATAAAGGCCAGATTAAGGATTTTATTTATTTATTTATTTACTTACTTACTATTTATTGCTTGCAGCAAGGAATTGAATCCAGGGCCTCACATGTGCTAGGCAAGTGCTCTACCACTGAGCTACACTTACAGCTCCCTACATTTACTAATTTTACAGTTAGGAATTACTGCTTCATGTTTGATTTTTTTCCACTCAAAACAGATTCATCCACACAATGTCCATGTGTAGCACTGCTGTGTAATATCCCATTGTATGATTAAACCACATTTACCTTTTTTGCTATTGACATTATTTCCAGTTTGGAGTTATTATGAATAAAATTGCTGACCTTTCTTATCAATGATGTTGGAGGTCATAAATACTCATTTCTGCTGGGTGTATAACCCAGAAGTAGAACCTCTGAATCAAAAGGCACACATGTTTAGGACTGAGGGTTCAGTGCTTGCCCAAGGCCTTGGGATCAATCCTTAATACTAAAACAAACAAAAAAAGTTAACCTTCATTTTGGCAGGCAACAACCACAAATTTTTTTCAATTTGGTTTTTCTAACGATGTATGAGAGTTTCAGACATTATACCTCCTCAGCAATTCTTGGTGTTATCAGCCATTTAAAAAACATTCACGGGGCTGGGGATGTAGGGTAAAGCACCTGCCTAGCGTGTGCAAGGCCCTGGGTTCAACTCCCCAGCATTATCAAACAAACAAACAAACAAATAACAAAAAATGTAAACTTTTGAACTTCTGAATGGGCCTTCTTTCTGCTTCATTTCCACAGAAATGGTGAGCTCTGCTGTGAGGTACATCTGCAGATGGTTCCTGGGATAAGATGAAATACACTAACTTCAAAAATGAGCCTGCAGCAACCCAGTGTGTCCCTGGGATATAGCCTGAGGAGACCAGAAGACAAGCCCTTTCCAGCCTGAGCCTAGAGATTCTCAAAGGATTCCAGACTCTTGCCCAGTGGTCTCCTGGGTCATTCAAAGCATTGTGAGGCAAGACAGAACTAGAACAACAGACTCAAAAAGGAAACTGGGCCACTCCTGACCCATTCACTGTGTGCATGTCTCTGAAGGAACAGACCTAACCAAGAAAGATGAGGCTGCCTTTCCCAAGGTGGCTTTAGGGGTTAGTGGCAGTGCCAACTTGGGATGGCGGAGGACCCTGTCTCAGTCTGGTCTTTGATTCAGCTTGAAAAACAAATCCAAATCTCCTTGTAGGCAGAACTTCAGATGGGCCAACAGAGCTCCCTGGAGGTATGAGGCCTGAAGTTTGAAGGGACCAGCAGGTAACTGGGCACCACAGCCAGAGGCCAGTCAGTCTCAAGAAAGAGCATCTTGATTCCTTCAAGGGTTTCTTTGCCCGAGGAAGCTGGCACTCAAATTCCTTCAGGATCTTCAGAAAATGGAGGCAAGGGTGATCCTGAAAAAAACCCCTTACGGGACTGGGGGGTGTAGCTCAGTGGTAAAGTTGCTTGTCTAGGCTGCTTGAGGGCCTGGGTTCTATCCCCAGCATCCCAAAATAACAAAAACAAAACCTCTTTTTAGTGACCAACTTAACCAAAGTGCTAAAAATGGCAACTCTTCCGTGATTAGGAACTTCATTCAAACTTCCTAAGGCGAAGACAGGACCAAGAGAGGCAAGCAGTGACAGATAAATCACACCGTGAGGCCTATTTTCTAAACCGCAAAAGACAGTGTGGCTTTGATGGCAGGTCACGGGATCTTAACGGGGGCATGGTAAGGGTCAGTTGACTGAGGGACAGGAAAGAATCAGGAGGGGGAGGGGCAACGGAGTGAGTGAGGCCAGGAGTGACTAGCGCCTTAAGGCTCCACAGTGGTGGGGAGAGGGCTGCCTAGAGTTACGCAGGGCGGCCAAGGCTGGTTGTGCAGTGCAGGTTCTCGGCGGTGGGAAAGTCTAGCCACGCTGTCCTGGCTTCCAAGCCAAGTCCCACCATAAGGAAGGGGGTGGGATGGGGTGTGCACTTGCCCTTCAATATCCAATCCTAGGAGTCCCGGCAGTGTGACAGTTTCGGGGAAACAAGCGGTGCTGGGTGCTAGGTGGGAGGTAACCTGAGTAACGGTAAGGACGTGTGCTGGGAGGGATTCCGTCCCTGAGCAGGGCTGGTGGTCTTCATTTCCGGGTGCGGACTGATGGGCGGGCTGGGGTCCGAGGTCTGCGGCCAAAAGCCAGATTCCTTTGGCCCCAGCTGGTCCATCGCCCGAGATCGCCAAACAACCGTTGGAAAGGGGAAGGCGAAAGCTCGGCAACAGCTACGAATTCTCCACGGAGCCCTAAATCCCGCCCCTCTCGTGCGTGCAGCGTCTCTGCGGCGACGCGCCGCCAAGTGCGGCTGCGCAAGGGTGACGGAGCGCGGGCGAAGGGGGGAGGGGGTGTTTTGGTTCTTGCCGCTCGCCGTCCTTTCCAGAGTCGGTCGTCTGAAATCTGTTTTTTACCTTTCCTTCCCCCTTCCTATTCCCCTTCCCAACCCCGAATCTCCCTTCCTCCTTTCCTTCTGTCCGCCTCCCTTTTTTCTACTGCCGCCCCGGGTCTGGGCCATTTTCCGGGCCGGGCGCACTACAGCGCGCGGCCCCGGGGCCCAGTATATGACCGGCTCTCCTGCTACCCCTCGCTTCCCCCGCCCCATGTGGCTGCGGGGCCGCGGCGGCGCTGCCCACTATGGCTCGGAAAGCAGTTAGCAGGAAGCGGAAAGCACCTGTCTCTCCAGGAGCTGGGAGCGACGCTCAGGGCCCGCAGGTGAGGGTTCTGAAACCGGGATCTGGGCGTTGAGACTGAGGCACCAAGACGTGATTAGGGTCTGCAGATCCAAGGACAGGAATCTGGGTCCAAGGTCCGTAGTCCGAGGCGGGACAAGACCTGGGCCTGGACCTGCGGTCATGGCCAGTCCCTCAGGACCTCATTGGAGAGCAAATAGTCTAGAGGCAAGGGGGAACTCAGAAGTGGGACCTTCCTTAGGAGGCATGAGCCAGGAATAGGGCCTGAGGAGAAACCGGAATCTTGATTCTGGAGGAAGAGAAAATATAAGTCATGAGGAATCGGAAACAAAATCAAACTCCCAGAAATTAATGAGAGGGAGAGGGAAGTCCACCTTCCAGCGGCACAGTGAAGCGGGCCGATTGCTACCTTCATTGAGGAAATAGTGTCACTAAGGATACCCACGCCTGAGCTGGGCTTCTGGCACTTGGACCCCTAGAAGAAACAGTAATTACCAGGTGTCATCCCAACACCGTACTCTTTGCGGGGGGCGGGGGGGGCTTCTTGAACTTGGATTCGGACTCTGATTTCCCCATCCGCCTACCCCGTTGGTAATTTGATTTTTCGAATTCTACAACTGCCTGGAGCGCGGGCGTAATGATAGAGGAGCCGCCATTGATAGCACATCCCTGGAAGACCTGGGACCCAGTCTGGCTACTTGAGCTACACCCTCCATGTTCCGTGGGGAATACAGGCTAAGAGGGAGAAGGGGGCTGGGTAGAGATGCAGTCCAGGTGGGTATGGGAACCACTAGTCCTCTCTTTTGCTCTCAAGGATAGGTAAAGAATATTTGAATCCTTCACTCCCAGAAGGTCTAGTAAACCTTTTTTTTCAGTTCTTTTCTACTTCCATTATAGGTTTAACTATGAGCAACATCATTTCGCTGTTGTAAGAGTTAAACTGAACTTTCTGAACTGAGGTCCTTGTTCTTTTATATTCGTATTTCTGTTGTATGTAAATTCTGCAGGGTGAGTTTTGGTTATTTTGCTAATATGGTAGGATCTCCTGTTCAGAAGAAAGGTAGACAAAGTCCTGATTTCTAATGTTACTTTCATAGTTTGGCTGGGATCACTCGATTCACAAGAGGAAAAGACTTCCCCCAGTGAAGAGATCATTGGTGTACTACCTGAAGAACCGGGAAGTCAGGCTACAGAATGAAACCAACTACTCTAGAGTGTTGCATGGATATGCAGCACAGCAACTTCCCAGTCTCCTGAAGGAGAGAGAGTTTCACCTTGGGACCCTCAATAAAGTGTTTGCATCTCAATGGTTGAATCATAGGCAAGTGGTGTGTGGCACAAAATGCAACACGGTAAGTGTCTGGAGGGGAAAACTTTATCCTAGTTCTTGAATATATATCTCTGCATGCTCCAGAACCTCTCACTGCTCATTTTCCCCATTAGTTTCTTTTGAAAAGGAACTCCCTTAACTCTCCTTTCCATGCCCTCCTGTTGACCACTTCCTCTCTTTCTGCTCTTTTTCTCAGAACTTCTGCATCTTCTGATGTTTTCAAAATAATACGGCTTATATATATTTATCTATATATATACCCTTTTTTTTTTTTAATATTTTTTTTAGTTGTAGTTGGACACAATATCTTACTCAGTTATTTTTTATGTGGTGCTGAGGATCAAACCCAGCGCCTTGCTACCACTGAGCCCCAGCCTCAAAATAACACATCTTTAAGCCTCCTAATCCTCTGTATATAATGCATCTTCTAGAGTTGAGGTTTTGGTTTTGATTTTGGTACTGGGGATTGAACCAGGGGCACCCAAGCTATATTCCAATCTTTTTTATTTTTTTGTTTTGAGATAGGGTCTCACTAGGTTTCTGAGGCTGGCCTCAAACTTGTGATCCTCCTGCATCAGCTTCCTGAGTGTCTGGGATTATAGGTATGTGCCATCACACACATCCAAGGGAAGTAATTTTAAAGAGAGTGACAGTTATAAGGTAGGCATGGTGGTGCACTCCTGTAATCCCAGTGGCTGAAGCAGGAGGATCATAGGTTTGAAGCCAGCCTCAGCAACTTAGAGATGCTGTAGACAACCTAGTGAGACCCTGTCTTAAAATTTAAAAAAGAGGGCTGGGGATGTGGCTCAGTGGTTGAGTGCCCCTGGGTTCAATTTGTGGTAACAAAAAAAAAAAAAGAAAAGAAAAAGAAAGAGAGAGAGAGAGGGAGAGAGAGACAGTTACAAATGAAGGGGAAAATTTATCAGTAAGCTATGTAACCAACACAATTTTAGCAAGGATAAAATAAATCAAATAGTGAATACGATTGGAACCGAAGACTACAAATGGCACAATGTCAGAGGAATGGCAAGTGAGAATAGGGAGGACCTGGAGGTGGGTAATGACTAGGACCAGCCGCTCCCTCCATTTTCACCTCACCCTGTGTGAATAGGCATGTAGTGTCATAATGGCTGAGTAAATTTACACTAAAGCTAAACACATATGGGGTCAGTTGAAAGAGAGAAGGATCCTGTAGATCAAGAAAATCTTAAGTTTTAGGTGAAGTATTATAAAAGGCAAAATATTAATTTATTTTTTTTAACTGGGGATTGAACTCAGGGGGGCTCGATCACTGAGCCATGTCTCCAGCCCTATTTTGTATCTTATTTAGAGACAGGGTCTCACTGAGTTTCTTAGCACCTCAATTTTGCTGAGGCTGGCTTTGAACTAATGAACCTCCTGCCTCAACTGCCTGAGCTGCTGGGATTGTAGGCGCGCACCACTGCACCCAACTAAATTTAAACAGTTTTGAGGAAGGAAGTAATACCATGGTGGTTGGGGCCAAGTTTTCATTTCCTTTTCTGTTGAAAGTTGCTTGTCTTATACAGAAGCCCTCCAAAACTAAACAGTAGTAGCAAGCCTCCACAAAGCTTCCCGTTTCTTAGTTTCTCAGCTTGCCCACTGATGGCTTGAGAACTGTCGTCATTGTCACTTGGAGTAGAAAAAGAATTTCCTGCTTGGAAGGGTTCTTTCTACTCCTTACACATGCACCATAGTGTTTTTCCCAGCAGTATTGCTGAATGGTAATCTGAGTTAACATCAAAATCTCTTGTTTCTTGAATTTATTGACACTGTTTTGAAGGTGAGCATGTTAAGTGATAATTTAACTTAATACCTACCTCTAGTATTTTTCTTTGCATAGCTTCCAGAACCAAAGCAGAGAACCAGCAACACTGCTTTTCTAGAGTATCTAGTGAAAAGGTATCACTATTTATGAGAGATATTGAGGTTCTAGTATGACAAGTTTTAGTTGTCTATAAGAGAGTTGGACTGAATCAGGTTATAGAAGCCCTTGAATATCTAGCTAGGATATTACTCCTTTTGGAGTGGGGAGGCAGTGGCTCAGTGATTTCTAGTGGGGAGTGATGTGGTTGGAGTAATGCATCCAGGAGAGCAATAACAGGAGGCTAGTGCCATGGTGTATACCATGAGCGGTAATGAAGGGCCAAATTAGGCAAGTGACAAGGAGAGGATGGGGAGGAGAGATTTAAGACATCTTAGAGGTTAAATCTGTAGGTGATGATGTGCTCAGACAATCTGTTGTGGAGGAAGAAGTCAAAATTAATACTGATGTGTTGAACCTGGGGAACTGGAAAGATGGCAGGGTGAGTATTAAGGAGCAGATTGAGAGAAGATGAGTTTAGTTTTATGCTTTCTGTCTATTAGTTGAAATTTGAGAAAGGGTAGGAAGTTAGTGGTTTGGGAGTCGTTCATCATATATCAGGGATTATTGAAATTATTATAGAGGAGAAGGCACTCTTAATACTTGAGTCCCATATACTTTCTTAAATTGCAAAATTTTTATTATGTGTATATTTTCTGGGCAGGATTATGGGGGCTGGTTTGGGAAGCAAGTCTTAATTTTTATTAGATTTTCAAAGGGAGGACTGAGTCAGAAATGATTAAGAGCCTTTGATACTGAAAGAGGAGCTAGATACAGAATCTTAGGAAACACCTACATTTACAGGACAAAAGCAAAACTGCTACAGAAGAAGCAGGGAACTCAGGAAAACAGTACAGAAAAGAATAAGAAAGGAGGATGTTTGCAGGGGTCGTGGCTTATGAAGGGTATGGCATATATAGTTTAAATTATTTAATTGAATGTAATTATTTATTTTTTTTATACTGGGGGTTGAACCAGGGGTATATTGCCACTCAGCTACATCCCCCAGATCCCCAGCCTTTTTTTTTTTTTTTTTTTTTTTTTTAAGTGGTGTTGTTGCTGAACATTGAACCCCGGGCTTCATACATATGACACACAAGCACTTGACCACTGAGCCACATTCCCAGCCCCAGACCTTTTTATTTTTTATTTAGAGAAATGGTCTTGCTAAGTTGCTGAAGATCTCACTAAGTTGTTGAGGTTGGCTTCAAACTTTGGATCTCCTGCCTTAGCCTCCTTGGTAGCAGAATTACAGGTGTGTGTCACCACACCCTGGTGAGGTATTTAGCTCATATTTTTATTTATTTATTTTCCCATATGGTATTTAGCTTTAGATATGAATTTTCCATCATAATGCCCTCTAGCCAAAGATACCAGGGACCCTCCTGTAGTAGAATAAGATATAATTGCTCTTTCCAGAGAGAGAGAAACCTAAACCATAAGGAAAGGAAGGGGACTTTCAGAGGTTGTTAGAAAGAACTTAAACTTGGGGCTTATGTTAGGTGTCTGGGGGAAGTCTTGAGGAAATAAAACTCTTGGCTCCAGATCAGATACTGTTAGGAAGTGCTTTGGTGGGGACAAGATTCCTTTGTTTGAATCTTAATCTTGTCTAGAGGGTGGTTAAAGCTGGAATTGGTAATGATGAAGCAGTCGTTTTTATTAGCCAGATTTGATCTTTCTGTGGTTTAGACAATGTTCATGTTTCAATCTCTGTTCAGATTTGGTACAAGTGACCTTATATGGGAGCCGAGGTAGTTGTTCAGTGACTGAGTGATCACCTAGCATTCATGAGACCCTGGGTTGATCCCCAGCACTGAAAAAAAAAAAAAAAAAAGGTGAGAGGGGGGGAGCCTGGCATGGTGGTGTACACCTATAATTTCAGTAACTCCGGAGGCTGAGGCAGGAAGATCACAGGTTCAGACAAAGCGTTAGCAGCTTAGCAAGGCTCTCAGCAATTTATCAAGACCCTGTCTCAAAAAGGGTTGGGGGTGTGGCTCAATGGTTAAGTGCGCTTGGGTTTAATCCCTGGTACCTAAAAAACAGAGAGATAGGGTCATCTTCTCTGGTGCTGGTGTTTGTGAAATTCTTTATTTTCACCATGACACAAAATCCTAGCTAAAAGTATCAGACTGTCAGGGCTGCTTTTTTTTTTTTTATGTGGTGCTGGGGAGTGAACTCAGGGCCTTGTGCATGTGAGGCAAGCACTCTACCAACTGAGCTATATCCCCAGCCCTGCTTTTTTCTATTATAATATTATATCCTTGAATTTACATATTCAGATTCCTGAAATCCTAAAGGGAGAATATAAAACTCACCTTGATACTCAGGGAAGCAAAGTATGATTACATGTAGGAGATTAATTGTGTTCTGGCCAGATTTTACTCATTTCACCTTGTCTTAACTATTTTCCCAAGAGGATTTTTTTCTTCCTCTTTTCCCTCCTCCCTCCCTCCCTCCCTTCCTCCTTCCTTCCTTCCTTCCTACATATATACATACATACATACCTGGGATTGAACCCTGGGGTGCTTTACCACTGAACCACATCTTCAGCCCTTTTATTTTCTGTCTAGAAGAGATGCTCAGGTTTATCCCAGAATTAATCTTTATTGTATATTCAGAGTATTTGACTATATTGAGAGGAAGAATTTCAGAGGTGGAAGTACTTGAATTGCCCATGTTGGCAAGTTCCTTTAGCTGGGGCACATATGCAGAAGTGTTTCTAAGGTGGAAATAACTGGCAGTATTTCATAAACCCTAAGTTCTGTGCAAAGTTAATTCATGTAGTTAAGCTTTAGGAAGAGCAGGAGTAAGAATGATTTTATGCCTCTTATCTGTGATTATACTTGTTTTTTCCTGCTCCTTTTTTGTCTGTGTCTTTGAGAGGGCATTGCTTGTATTAGTGGATTAGCACAGGTATGGACCTGAGAAATCCTGTTTAGGGTAGTGCTTGACAGAATTTGGGTTACCCTCTTTCTATATATGAGGAAATTAATGGTTGAGGATGTTAGGGCCTGCCAGGTGCAGTGCCCCATGCCTGTAATCCCAGCGACTCTATAGGCTGAGACAGAAGGATTGTAAATTCGAGGTCAGCATCAGCAATTTAGCAAGACCCTGTCTCAAAATAATAAAAGGACTGGAAG